CTAAGTATTTTCTTTGTCAGTATAACAATAAAGACTTGATTAAACTCTTGTTCTTAATGATGATTATCGGGAGTATGCGCAAAATTTACTTATCAAAACTTCAACATATGAACCTCCGGTTTTGTATTATAATGTGCATAAGTTCGCTAATATGTTGTAGCTAAAAGATGTGATACCTAATATGTTTTATATATACTCCATTAAAAGTGACAATCTAACGATGAGAACGATATTTCTATTTACGTTGATCTGTTATACTCTCAAAATATGACTTCCCAAAGATCTAATTACTTATATCTGCAGTTTCTATAAAAAGAATATGTAATTCAAGCACTTTTAGGAAAGAAATCATTAATTTTTCAACGAATGATCAAACATTATATACAAAATTAATTAGTATATCTTATAGATTGACTACTCTCAAATATCTAAAATCCGCATTCATTGAGACGTGCGTCAAAGCGAATACTAGTATAGAATATCTAACTAATGTTTCTTTTGTCTTTTTTAACTGAAGAAAAGTCTTGTATAAGTTCTACAAGGATAGGAAAGTAAGATTTTCATATATACTATACTTTAGTATGACTATTAAAAATGCATAATGAGTAGAACTCAATTCTCATATTCTATTCATAGACTCACACATTTTCTTTATATTGACACATTAACTCTCACCTTCATGTTTATTCTACAACTTGTTACTTACTACGTAAAATGTATTCATTTTACTATGTCGCATTTATCAATTTCAGAAAGTTGATAATTACCGCCACAACAACAAGAAATGTTCATCGAAAACCGATTCACTTGGCTCTACACTGAAGGGATGTAGATGAAAACAATTTATTGTATGAAACAAGTAACGCGTCGGCTCCATGAGCCTCGCTTAGCTCAATCCTGAAAGCCAGAAAACAATACATAGAGTATTGATCGCTACATTGCTAAATATACTACTAAATTTAACTGAAATAAAATTGGAGAATCTTCTCACATGACTAGAATTATCAGGCTCTATTGAAATCTGTGACCTGTCCGATAGTTTATTATTCATCCTTCTTGTGTATGTAAAACATTTCCATTTACACTAGTGTTGGCACATATTTCAGCAAGTTCTCTTAGTAAAAATGTATCACAATTAATGGAACATCTAGACAGAAACTAAGCTCTTCTAGGCAGCTACAACTTCCTCCTCTAGAAAAGATTGAGAACCGCTTAAAGCTCCCTCTACAGGCGTACTCAAGGGGCTCTTCGCTTTCTCTACACATATGAACAGATCAACTTAACTTCCTCGACAATACTTCTTTGATTACGCAACTAGTCATAATGTAAATGTGCAACACGTCATTTTTGCAAAAATTTCAGATGCAAAAGACTAGCTTCTATGACATGAGATGTTCGATAGATTTCCTGTGTGATAGCGTAACTTACAAGGCAAACAGTCAAATATTATTTTCCTAAAGGATGGTTCATGCAATAGCCATCATGATAAGCAAAATGAAATATAGGCGATTCGATTTGCTGGGCTAGGTTGATTTCGGATTAGCGATAGAAACGTATTTAAAATTTATTTCATATGTATAACGTAAACAATAGGCTATTGTCTAGTTTCTTTCTGGCGCCTCAAAAAAATTTCAATTTTTGTCAAGTAAAAATAAAATATATGGAGACTTTTATAAATGCTTTTTAGTAATTAGCTGGGAGAATGATAAGATGTCAAAATAAAATATTATGAATAACATCATATTAATGATCGAAGGATGTGAGTGTGAGTGTGAGTTGAAGAGGAGAACAACATCCACATCCACACCCTCCATCCATCAAGAAACCACATAGACGATTTATACTAGATGAACAAATATGACAAGAATAAAGGACAATCAATAAAAAGAAAGCATGAAAATAAAATTATTGAATTAAAGTGAAAATTTACAAAAGGAACGTACAAAAACAAAACGATATATCAAATATAATGAATAAATCAAAAATAAATCTAACTAAAAAACAAATGGAAGTTTTGGTGAAAGCATTGAAATTCATCTCAAACATTTTTTGGATAAGGAAGGGTGTTCCCTTAAGCTTTTTGTTAAAATTAATGATGAACTCGAAAATTCTAAAAAATGTTGAGTGAATGTAAACATTTTTATGAATTTAGTCAACTAACAAATATGTCTTATTTCTTTTTAATCCGATGTTGTTTTCAAACAAACATATTCCTAATTTGTAATACAATATATAAGCGTCGAGTGCATTAAATACAAATAATGCTTCTCTTTGTGAATATTTTTTTTCGCTACCATCTGTGTAAAAGAACGCAAAAAAAACTTGCTTGTTCGACAAGCATCAAGTCATTGTGCAAGAATATCATATGAGTTATTTCACAACATTGTAAAGAGACATATTGAAATTTGACGTTGCATAACTTTTGCGTTTACATATAAATTACGTATATTTACATCGTTTGAAAACAATATTAAAATTGGTCATATATTTTCATTCTAGAACTTTTTTTATCATGGCAACTTTAGAAAACAAAAAATTCATGAATTTGGAATCTTTCTCCAATGAATTATTGCTTGATCTATTTGAATATCTTCCTGTTGTTTATCTTCTTCGAGCCTTTAATGATCTTAATTTTCGTTTTAATAATTTGATTTTGATTCATTTTCAACGGTTTGATCTCAATTTTCGATCAATATCTCAATATGATTTTAAAATTATTTGTCGCCAATATCTTCCAGCTATAGCCGATTGTATAAGTTTCTTAACTCTTTCAAATGATGATGATACACCACAACAAATCGATCTCTTTCTTGAACATGGTTTAATTATTTCTCAATTTATTAATTTAAAATCACTTTCATTATGTGATCTTTGTTCTGATGAGATAATGATTAAAATGATGTTAGAATGGAAATATCTTGTAAATTTAACTCATTTAACTCTTGCTGGTTGTTATCTTAAATTCGATCAGATCAATGCTCAACGATTAATCGATAGTATTTGGAATTTATCTAAATTAATTTATTGTTATTTAAATATTAGTTTTAATGAAAACAATATTCTTGTACCAACAGTCATGTCTTCATCATTGAAATATGTATTCATTTGGGGTATTGAACATTGTCAAAATGAAATCAATGCTTTATTTAAACAAACCCCTTGTCTACAATATTTTTCTATTCTACTCAATATTGATTCGAATGATAATAATGATGTAGAATATCCTTTTTTATCAATTACTAAATTAAAATTTTATTTATCTCGAATACAAGAAGATAGAATTATAAAATTCTTACAAAATATGCCAAATTTATATCAATTAATTATTGATATATGTTCTCTTGATCAAGATTATACAAATGCAATTTTAAATGGTTGTCAATGGAAAAAAATTATTCGTAATAATCTACCTAATCTTCACATATTTCGATTTAGAATGGAATTTCAATTAACTAATGAAAATAATCGTGAACAACAAATAGATGAATTAATCAATTCATTTCAAAGTTCATTTTGGATTAAAGAACATAATTGGTTTATTCAATGTCATTGGCATTCAATAAATAGTTCTAGTTCAATTTATTTATATACATTACCATATAGTTTTGATGATTTTAATTTTAATTATTCAATGAAATTTAAATCAACTTATCCTAATAATAATAATAATAATTATATGCACTACAATCATGTACATAGTCTTAAATATGATATGTCATCAATCGAAGAAGTATTTTCATCTTCTATTCAATTTTTTAATCTTCAGACATTATTTGTAAAATTTCCTGTTAATGATCATTTTTGGTCTTTGATACCAAAATTTAATCAATTAATTTCACTTATTATCTCAATAAATGATGATAATAATATTCAATCTCAATTACAATTTTTACTTGATCATACACCTTGTTTGTATTCATTAAGTTTTAGTTCATGTTCATCAACATTTCTTCCACAAATATTATCATTCGAATTTCGAAATAAATCAATTCGTCGACTTGATTTACGAGGATATGATCAATATTTTACTGATGAACAATGTCTTATATTAAGTCATTCATCGTTAGGTATTCAATGTGAAATTCTTTTCATTAAAATTCAAAATTATCAAATATTACTTGATATTTTGAACAATATGATTAATCTTCGTACTTTGATTATTCAATGTGAAAATGATAAATTCAATGAAACAAACAATGATGAACTTATTGTTTGGTTAAAAGATCATCTACCATCGACATGTGTTATCAGTAGAGATTTAATTTTTTATTGTGATATTAGAATATGGATTCGTTAAAAGAATAAAAGTTGTTAGCGTAAAACTCCATAAGATTAAAATACGATGGAATTACTAATGTGGTAAAAGAGGGAATTAATCAATATATGTTTCAGTTTATGAATTCCTACCTACTAGTAATACAAGATATTAATCACAATATATTGCATTGAGTATGAAAGAAAAGTGAAAGTTATGTCATGTTTGTGAGCACGAGTCCAAATTTCTACCCCTATACTTTAATACTCCTTTTATATTGTGTTTTATCAAGCTTATCAAAATTCTTTTTGTAAAATGTACCATTTTTAAAAATATTATTAATAGATAATGTAAAAGTTCTCTATATAAATGAATAATCTTAATAATGTTTTTCTATTAATTGCTTTTTTTTTCTATTTAATCAACATGCACTTTTCTGAGAATTAATACAGCGATAATAAGTTATATTTCACTGACGTATAATAATTAGAGACATTACAATTGATTGTTCATTTATCTTAATAGTATTGCTCTTTGTTTAAAAAAAGCATCTCACAGACTGAAAACTATTGTAATCTTAAATCTTATATTGACTTAGGTACGAATTAGTGCTTAAAAAAAGTTCTTACCATGACCACGCTAGACTATCAATTGTATATAATTAAAGAAAACTAAACAGATACTTTTATAATAGTCAAATGTAAAATGAAGACAACCAATGTCATCATCATTTATTTCGTTCCTTCTTCAAACTAATCAACGAATAATGACTTATGGTGGTATATCAATATTTATTATTGACTTGGTTGGTGAAATTCTTAATATAGTTGTTTTTCTTAGTCTTACAACATTTCGAGAAACTTCATGTGCATTTTATTTAACAATTCTTTCAATTGTAAATAATATTGGTCAATTAATAACAAGTTTATTAACTCGCATAATAATAACTGAATTTAATATTAATTGGATACGAAATTTATTATTCTATTGTAAATTTCGAATATTTGCTTCTCAAGTTACAATAATGAGATTTCTTTTACATGTATTTGTTTGGCAACAATTGATCAATATTTTACAATCTGTTGTCGAATTTAATGGCAAAGATGGTGTCATATTAAAATTACACATCGTATAATAATTTCTGTAATTCTATTTGCAATTATTGAACAAAGTCCATGTTTATTTTTATATGATCATGTAACAAATATCAACAACTAATATTGTAATTTGTACAACAATGAATGAATTTTTTTATTCAATTTAATATTTATTTTAATTATCTTTTATTGGAAATATTTTACTTTATTTAATAACATTTTTATTTGGATTGAACCGCATATCATAATATACAAAAAAATAGTCTATCGAACAGTACCTTTAGCTCGACGTGAATTAGATAAACAATTAACAATTATGGTTCTTATACATATTGTTTATAAAAACTTTCTTCCTCTTCAAAACATTGGTGACGTTATTTACATCTAAATAAATTAAACTATCAGATACTAACATTTTTGACATTTTTTATACCATTCTATAGTTGACAAATACCAAAATGTTTATAAATCAATCGATAAGTCTAGCTTAGCTGAAGAATGAGAACAAAAATTTTATAGTATCTGTTACACTTGTAAATACTTCAAGAGTTTGCTCATCTTGTAAGTACATTGTTTGATATATTTGAGTCTTTTGGTGATTATTATATGTAAATATTAATTGGCTTCTCTATCGTTGATTTCTTTCGCTCATAAAAAATGATCAAATTTTATTATGTACAGATAATTTACTATGCATAATCGGACTCGGATCGGTATTTTCTTTTTATATGCGCGCCTGATCGCGCCGGAGTTAACCGACATCCAGCAGATACTTTCATAGTTACAGTACGGTTTTCAGATTTTTATTTTATTTGATAAAATATATGACTTAGTTTCTTTCATAAATAGCAAAACAAAAAAACAAGAGATCATCTCAAAAGCAAGTGATTTAGGATTCACATGGTGTCTTTCTGCTTCTAAAATCCAATCAGTTTCAATAAGTATACGTTTGTATGTTGTTGATGCCACTAAAATAGAACGCAGTGTTGGTACCAAACATCGTAATTATGGATGTATACATGAGTACTCTTTTCCATTACGATAATATATGTTCACCTTTTTGATAACTTATTTTCTTCTTTATGTATTCAGTTACTTCATCATCATCATCTGTAGATAAATTTTCATCAAAAAATGAATTCTTTTAGTGAACCAATATCGCTTTCCAAATCTGTAGACTGTTCTCAAATACAATAAATTTCTCAGGTTTTCACTCCTATGCTTTCATATAAATTGGCAGTTCGAAAAAGTAAAAATTTTTTTGAAACATCCAGATCTCATTAACTCACGGGTCGATTCCAAGTAGAAGATCATATCGGGGATTCTCAACTGACTCGAGAAGTTTGCATCTAGACTGAGCCAGTTGCAAGACACTATTATACATTTACATGACTGTTTTCATTTCTGTTCAAATTCGAAAAGTATATTTTGTTCTCATGTTAAAATAGTTGAATAACACTCAATATTATTTATAACAATTTGAATAGACTAATGAACTATTATCTGTTTAGCAATGATAGCTATCGAGCTCGAGTTTTCGTCATTAGAAAGAGCATGAGTAGGAATACAAATCTATCTGAGAATCAAAAAACTTGAAAAATTTTTTAGAGTATTCCCCCGGAGTTTTTGAAAAATCATCGTCTGATTTGCTTGATTAGCTGTATTTTCAAGTGAAATTGGAAATCCAATATTTTGAAAAAGGAACATCATTTTTGGCTAACACTTTTAGAATATTCTATGGGCGATTAGAGCTATCTATAGGCAAATTTTGAGGTCGAAATTCCGTAGTTTCATTTTCCGGTAAATACTTAGGAAAGGGTCGAAAACTCAGTAGAAAATGGTCATAATTGTTTAAGGAAAGGTCGAAAACGCCTAACATTTCGTGGTTTATAAAGTAGACATTGGGTTACAATATGGTTAAATTGAAATGGAAAATACAGCTAATCAAGTGAATCGGACAGTGATTTTCCAACAAATCCCTGGAACATTCTAGAAAACTTTTCAAGTATTTTCATTCTCAGGTAGACTTGTACTCCTACTCATCCTCTCTCTAATGACGAAAACTCGAGTTCGATAGCTATTAGCACTGTCGAGTTATTCAATAAACAACTGAGTCCATTCTTTTTTGAAATGGATAATAGGTGATTTTCAGCTTTTACAATTATTTTATCATATAAAACCTTTGTACTTTCTTAATACTTTATATGCTTTTTATTCTCACAAGTGTAACAGCTTTCTCATCAATTGTTATTTTTCTCACAATGATAACATTGTATATGTAAGACCAGGTATCTTACATCTATCACACCACTGTTTTTCTTATCATTAGACGATGGGTGTTCTCTTGTTTTTTACCAGCTTGTTGTTTTTATGCTATGGTATATCTGCTATTGATGTTATGCGATATGCATCTGTTCAATATTCAATTCTTTATAGTGAATTTATTGATTCATCAAAAACATTTTATCCATCATATGGATATCCATTAGACTACGAATGGAAATCAACAACAGCTACAAATGGATGGACACAAGGTTTTTTTCCTGGTGTACTTTGGAATATAGTAGAATATAATGCTACTCGACAATTTTTACAACATGCAACAGATGTAACAATGCCAACAGCTCCATTTGCTAATAATACAGGTACACATGATGTTGGTTTTGTTATAATGTCTGGCTTTGGTAATGCATATCGTTTATTAAAATTTCCAGAATACTTAGATGTTATTGTAACTGCTGCTCATTCATTAGCAACTCGATATTCATCAATTGTTCGATGTATACGTTCTTGGAATAGTCCAACAGGATTTTTAGTTATTATTGATAATATGATGAATTTAGAATTATTATTTGAAGCTAGTAATCAAACAAAAAATCAAACATTATATGATATAGCATGGCAACATGCTAATCGAACAATGTACGAACATTTTCGATCGGATAATAGTACTTATCATGTTGTAAAATATAATGAAACTGATGGTAGTGTTATTCAAAAATATACTGCTCAAGGTAGAAAAGAAATTCTTCAAAATATATATATTTTTTTTTTCGTTCGAAATTTTATTTCTCTATAGGTTATGCTGATTGGTCAACATGGGCTCGAGGACAATCATGGGCTGTTCATGGATTTACAATTGCTTATCGTTATACAAAATATGAACCATTTCTTGATAAAGCTATTGGTGCTGCAAATTATGTTTTAACACATCTTCCAAGTAGTACAGATTTAATAACCTATTGGGATTATGATGCTCCTCATAACTCAACATTAGCATATCAACCACGAGATACATCAGCTGCAGCTATTTTTGCTAGTGCTCTTGTTGAATTATCTCAATATGCACCAACATCTGATTTGAAAAATCAATTTTTAACAAATGCTAAAGCAATTGTCGATCAATTATCAACACCAACATATATGATATATGGTAATAAAGATTATAAATTACCTGCTTTACTTACAAATGGAACTATGGGTCCTTATCCAAAAAGTCCATATGATGTATCTTTAGCATATGGTGATTATTATTTAACACAAGCTGTTGTACGTTTGGCGAAACTTTGATTAGCTTACAAATTAATGAAAATTTATCTTTCTTCAATCTAAATACATTTTCGTGATAACTAATTAAACAAAAACAAAAAAAAAATTTCGTTTCTATTTTCAGTAAATAAAAACAAAAGTTTCGTTAACAGGTAAAAAATACATAAATTTCAATCCGTTTTGTCTGATATTTTGACTATATTGTCTGATACGATCTCAACATGGATCTTTTCTGCATTGATGGTTGTAATCATGAAATTTTGAGAGAAAACTTGTTTAGAATAAGGCATTCATTGAAGAAGATTTCACGTCAAATACCGGAGATAAAAATTACTTTTTCGACGATTTCCATTTAATCTCAAGTGAGAATTATCCAAAGAATACTTCATAAATCAGATAAACAAAAATCGTTTCATATGGAATTTTTATTGCTAATGGAGAGAACATTGAGATGTTGAAGAAGAGATCTAACATCATGAGATTTATTTTCTATGTTGAGATATTTTCGTCTGAAGAAAACAAAATCTATGTTGACCTTCTACATGAAGGTCGATTAAGTTATTGCAGTCAGAATTCAACATACTCTATTGATGGTAAAACTATGAGAATAAAGGATTAGCGTTTAAATACTATTTATCTGATACCGAAACTTATTGTGATTACTGTATTCTGTCTATTTTCGGATACATTTTTTTCACGATCCTTTTACTCAACCCTTCAGAAATGCAAAATAGAAGTAGTTCATTTATTATAACAACACGTTATTGATATAAAGTCTGTGAGAAGGCATGGGTCAAATTTGTACTCTTATACTTCAACACTTCTTTTAGATTATATTTCACAAAAAAATAAAAATACATTTAAAACTCATGTTTTCAATATGTAAAATACGTGGTCATTTTAATATTTTTGATAGTTTTCTCAATGTCTATCTAGTTTTTAGTTTGAGCCCCCCCCCCCTCAAAAAAGGTTTTCCACTTAAGATGACCCTTTTGGACTGAAATTTTCAGGAATGAGTGATCTTGGAGAGATACGCTTCTGGTAAAAATTTCAGATCGATTGATCGCACTAGACCGGATTTCCAGCTGATTCACAGGTCATTTTTGGCCTTCAGGAGAATCGATATAACTTCGTCGTAATATGGGGTAGAGAGCTCGGGTTGGTGTCAAATTAAAGCCAATGCGAGTATGCAAATTTTGTCGCAACAGAATTTTGAAATTCAATCTCATTCATTTTTTATGAGCATTTTAGTGGGATGGTCTTAAAATTAGCATAAAAAATGGTGGTCCAACGACAGTAAATCCCATTTTTCTCAGTCCAGGAATCAACTATAAAAAATCAATTCGGACAAAAATTTACTCTCATTAAGACCTTTAAAACAAAAAAAATTATTGGTTATAGTTTGAGACAGGACGGAGTTATTTCAATTTTTCTGTCTGGAAACCGTATTTTGAGAAAAACGCTAAAGAAATTTTAGAACTGGATTTTTTCATTCAAATCCAGAAAAAATCATATTACAATGGTATATTATTAATTCATTCCAGTGGATCGTTTTAGACTACGTAAGAGATGAAGGTAACCTAACGCCATCTGACATGCTGGGTAATATAAAAGTGTTCTACTCAATGCTAATGCAAGTGACAACGCAGTTTTTTCAAAACTGAAACACCTGAAAATTTCTTCGAAAATATGGTAGTAGAGTCAAAGTTTTATATGATAAGTCTTTGAAAATCTGGTCATTTTCCAAAAAGCTATATATATTCTGAAAGAGGAAGCTTCGCCGCATCTTTCTGTGATAAAAACTCAACTTCGATATTCCCTTGAAAAATTCGATTTTCTAAGGGGGGGCCCCCTAAGGCATTCCTTAAAAAAAAAGGTCAATTTTCGTCTAAAGAAATAAAAATTGAGATAAATACATGGAATGATAGTCCGAGGTCTAATCCTTCATAAACGACATGATTTTGCTATTGGGCAATTTGTTTTTTTTTTCAAAAATTTTAGACAATTTTCCTCATTTTCTGCTTGAAAAAAAATGCTTTTTTTTTTGTTCGCGCTATCTAGGGCTCTCTGTGGGGATTCATTCTATATGTTTAATATGCTGTTTGTTTGAAAGGACATGTCAACATGCAGGATATGACAGAGCTTTTTTTCTAAAATTAAGCTTTATTACTATTATATAAAACAGTACTTTTATAATTCGAGCGTCTTTTTTTCGAAGCCTCGAACATTCCATCCTTCTTCCCCTTAAAAAGTATTCTATATATTCATATTTGATGATAATTAATCAGTGTTTAGTCACAAACTCTAGAATGAAGTCGTTTTCAATTAACATATTGTTTGATGGAAATAGTCTTAATTATCTATATTGCTGAAACGAATTCCATATTTTAATTTTTTAAAATATAGTCAGAGTATCTTTTCCATTTGCAAATAAACAAAATTTTATTAATCATAAATGTATTCCTTCCTCGATTTAATACTAAACTTACTACACTCTTTCTATGAGTTTAAATAAATATCCATGTATATATATATCTCACATTCAAATTCATTTCGAATGCATCAATATGTTAGTGTCTGTTCAATTTAATTTTGAGATTTTTATCTATTTCATTTGAAGATAAGATCCATTTTCTTTGTGATACAAAAAAAAGTCTAATTATATTTTTTCTGTTTGTCTTCACAGATTCTCTTATAATAGTATTAAAGCATCAGAACAAAAAAGTATATCGTTATCGACCCCGCCGCATGGACGAAAGCTTTCTTGTCAAATGTTCTCTAGAACGTTTTTGACTATAACGCTAGTCGAAAAGCATTTCAATTTCCTAAAGAAGTTGCACGACCAGTATTAATACAAACACAAATAATACTCGATTTTGTAATCATGTCTGACTTCGCTAATGCATATGATCTATTTCAATTGGAAGAATATTCTGATATCATTATAACAATTGTACATATATTAATAAGATGATTTTCACCTTTTCTACGATGTACATGTTATTCTGTGTATAAAATAGAAATATTCCTCGTGAGTTTAAAAGTATCTTTTTAGAGAGAGTGATGAGACATTATACAACATTAGATGATTACATGCTAATCGAATAAGCTTCTCATAACTTTACATTAGCACATCAATCAAGAGATATATTTACTGCAGCTATTTTTTTTTTACTAACGACCTTCTTAAATTATTTCAGTATGCATCAATAGCTGATTTGAAACATCTTTTTTATAAGTAATGTGATGATAAGTCAGTTGACAGTTCTATGTACTTTATAAATGATATCAACGATTGTAGATTAACTGTCTTTCTTGCTGATGGAAACAATAGACTCTCATGTGAAGACATCTTATAACGTTGTCTTGGTTTATGAGAATTATTATTAAATAAAATTTATTGTGCCTTTAGATCAACTTTGATTATTTAAAAATCACGTAGGTGAAGTTAGCACTAGACTCGAGTAATATGGACAGGAATTACTTGAATCTAGTGCTTTCTTGACCTGAAGAATGAGTGATCCATTTTTAACTTATGTGATAGATGTCGCTTATGTACAATGATTCAATTTGTATTTTGTGTATGGTCGACATGATTTATCCAATAAAAAGTTATAACTTTTTACTTATTTTCATTTTGATCTATTTGTTGTAGGTGTACCAGGTTATTTTGGTTGATTATTTCGTGCAATTTTCCATTGTTTTATTTTTTTTTGACTAAAAAAAAAACAATGGCAACAATTACAATAAACGATGGAGAAATTGCATTAGAAAATAATGATAAAATCGAAAGTTCATCACCACCACCAAAAGATGAAAGTAGTGTTATCGTTAGTGATACTCCATTTCATTTACTTGAAGGTCGTTGGACATTTTGGTATACACATCGACCAACAACATTTCGTAATAGTTCAATTAATTATGATTCATGTTTAAAAAAACTTGGTAAATTTATTTGTTATTTCTTAATTTATATATTTTATTTAATTTATATTTTCTAGGTACATTCGGTTCAATAGAAGAATTTTGGTGCTATTATGATCATATGAAATTTCCATCAGAACTTCCATTATATAGGTACTTTTTGTTTTTTTTTAGAAAAAAGAAAAATATCTTTATTAAAACAATATATTCTTTTTGATTTTTAGTGACATACATTTATTTAAAGAAAATTTAAAACCAATGTGGGAAGAAGAAGGAAATCGTCTTGGTGGTAAATGGATTTTACGTTTAAAAAAAGGTTTATCAACTCGTCTATGGGAATTACTTGTTTTGGCTGTTATTGGTGAACAATTTAATGTTGGAAAAGAAATATGTGGGATTGTTTGTTCTATTCGTCCACAAGAAGATCTTATTAGTATATGGACAAAAACTGCAAATAATCAAATAATTACACAACGAATTAAAGAAACAATGAAAAAAGTACTTAATTTACCACAAGAATGTAAGAAACGAAGCGAGAAAACATTTATATTGTAATGAATTTGAATTTGTTAGTGGAAGAGTTTAAATCATTTTTCTGATTAAAAACTATCTTTAGACTAAGAGTAACAGTCAATGATATTTTGATTATTTATAAGATCATGTCAATATTGTCTGATGTGTATAGGACGTACTGGTAGCTGAATAGAAATAATCGAAAAACAAAAAAGAACATCTCATATCTTCGAAGCAACTATCCTATTTCAATTAGAAGATTTTATTGAGAGTACTAAGAGCATAGCCCGGATGTGTAAAAAAAAAACGTTTAAAAACCATGAAAAATATTAGAATTATCAAGCTCTAATAACCACTTTCGACAGCAAACAATTCTTACCAAATGTGATAAGTTATATTTGATGATGGTTTAGATTTTTGAAAAGAATCGAGATAAAAGTAGAATTTTTATCAGCCGAGGAAATGTTTCTCTTTAGGAAATAGCATCAGTTGTATAAGCGTAAACAATTTTTAAAGGATTCCCAAACTTAATGCTGGAAAAGTTTTGATTGATTGTGCTTTTTTGAAAAGCATACCTTTTATGA